GGTTGGTTATCTGGCCGTACATTTGGACGTGGAATCGAATCCGGATGATGCGGTACCGTCCAATCGGTTCTCAGGGATCGCCGAAGGACTGATCACGCTTACAGTGGAATCTTACAGTTCGGTAATTATTGTATGTGTGTGTGTGCGTGTCTGGAAATTGATAATTTTCTCGATTATCACCCTAGTTATCGTTAATTCTGCTGAAGCTACTCCATCGCTCCACTGTTCCAGGAAATACAAAATATCCAAATAGATTTAACAGTTTTTTCTTCGTCGCCCAACGGATTCCTCCTCGAAATCCAATCAGTCTGCGGACTATCTCCGGTTGCGGCTTTCGTGGCGGTTGGTGATTCATCAGTCACCGTCCGATAACCATAATGTGTTGACCGATTGGGGGACATAAGAACGCACCACATCCGATTTTGCCGTGCTCGTTGATGTTCTGTCGTACGTCCTTCGAAATATCAGCAGAATAATGAGGGAAATGTGATACAAATTGGCGTCAGTGCTCCTATCTGGCCCTGATATTCGGTAGTGCGTTTTTAGCTATTGTAAAACTGAGCTTGAACTGTAGCAAAGTAGATTACTGTCCCACGGAAACCTGTTCAAGTGTTTAAGCTACTCTCAATCTCGTTCAGCTGTTTTATCGAGAACGTTACAGGGATTCTCGGGGCCACAATTGATAAGTGAGTGTTTAATGAAGTAGAGTCTTGCCCCATGGAACCCGACATACCCCACATACCTATCTCTGTCTGTTCACTACCGCGTATAACTCTGTCACTCCATATACCCTAACTCGATAGAGTTAAAAGCGTTTAAAAGCCGCTTAAACCCAATGACGGCGTCGTGACGAAGGTCAATGTGACTGACCTTTTAAAACTAAGGTCATTGATCCCCTCACTTCCGAGGTGAGAGATTACTCCCTGCTGCCTTGCAGTTCGCCCTTTTTTGTGCAAAGGCTAGAGGTGTGCCCTCAAGAAGAAAACGCCGAGTGACGCTGGGGACGTCTCTCTTACCAAACTCCCAAGAAACTCTTGATCTTGATCATGATCATGTCTGTAGCCGGCTTATCCTTTCCAAGGAGTCAGCCGCAGTAAAGTAAAGTAAGAAAGCGATAGTAGTTACGTACTATTCGTAAAGGCTGTTCACGTCATCCGCTAGGTGCCGTGCTCGGGGATGACTGGAATTCTAAAAATGTATCATGTGAAACAATGTGTGTATTGTGCTGGAAAGTAAGCTGAGCATGCGACCTGATTACCCCCTTTCCCATCAACCTTTATCCAAAACCCAC